ACCTTTCACATAGGTGATTTTCAAAGGGCCGTGCGGAAAATAAATGCATTATAAAAGAAGGAACTAATAAACTAAATTATACTTATTTACAAAATATACTTATTTACTTATTTACTTATTTACTTATTTACAAGATGTAATTATTTAATAGATGATGGACAGATTTTAAACTTGTTGACTCTCTTAGGGTTTTCAACAAGTTTACTGGGATGTTGTTCCAATACGCTGCTCCTCTGTACGAAAAGCTATTTTTCAAGAAATTCGTTTTTGGTTTAGGTTGAGACAGCTTTAAATTACTACTGCGCAGTACGTAACCATTGTTTTCGCAAGTGTGAAATAGTTGTGTTACGTATTCTGGAAGCATGCCATTAATCACTTTAAATGTCATAAGGAGATCTCGCTTTTTCAAAACTAAGTCAAGAGGTTTCCAGCTAAGTTTTTGAAAAATGTCCGAAGATCTTATAGTATAGTCCGAATTTGTTATTATTCTTGCTGCTCGTTTCTGAAGCTTATATAATTTGTCTAAGTGTGTTTGGTTGTTATTTTGCCAAACAGTTGAACAGTAGTTAAAGTGAGGCGCGACTAATGCGTTATACATAATTTTGAGCGTATCTAGGCCAACAAAATCTTTGGCTTTTCTTAAAAGATTAATATGTTTTGATATCTTGTTGCATTGTTCTTCATTTTGCCTATTCCAGCTAAGTCTATCGTCTATAACTATACCCAAAGCTTCCTTTTTATAAACTCGTTCAATTTGATGTCCGTTTATACTGATTTTTGGCACGTGATCTAAGTTTTTCAATCGTTGCCGAGATCCAATAATCATATATTTTGTTTTTTCGTTGTTTAATGTTAATTTATTCGCTGATAACCATTTTTGGGCATTTACTAGGTCTTTGTTAAGTTTGTATTCAATATCTATGGATAAATGCCCTTGACATGATAAAATTGTGTCATCAGCAAATAAATTAGAATGTGTTGTGTCTAGGCAGTTTGGGAGGTCATTTATGTAAATGAGAAATAATAGAGCTCCAAGATTTGAACCCTGAGGTACTCCACAACGACTTGGAATAAAATGGAGGAAAATGCAAATGATTTTGTCAATTGTGTTGTTGTTGAGTAGTTTTGCCAACGTGTGCGGTGAAAATACATAGCTGAGCTAGCTGCCTCGCGAGGCGGTTAGCTCAGCAAGTTGCTTTCGTGTGCGGATAGTTTTCGTGAGGATTTGACCTCTCGAGGATTTGAGGAAAATATCTATCGTGTTTGATATTTTTCGCCTCGCGAGGAGAAAATCTCAGCGTCTGCGGATGTGAGCTAAGTGCTGAGCTGTTTGAATCAATTAGCCAATGACAAACCATGGTTTCTTCATGTGACTTGGAACAAAATGGAGGAAAATGCAAATGATTTTGTCAATTGTGTTGTTGTTGAGTAGTTTTCCCAACGTGTGCGGTGAAAATACATAGCTGAGCTAGCTGCCTCGCGAGGCGGTTAGCTCAGCAAGTTGCTCTCGTGTGCGGCGGGCTTAACGATGAAATACACTTCATTTGTTAAGAAAACAAGCTTTCAGCTTTCTACAGTCCAAATTTTACATTGTAAGGTGTAAAATTTCCCATTTTAACAAGCTGTATTCACAAATATTTAATAGACGTTCAAAACAACAAGGATTTTATATTCACAATTTTCTATGATATATATTGTCTAAAGTGCAAACTATCTGGTGTAATAATGTTAAAAAGATTGACTGCTGAGACTTGAGGTCTCGTTTTATTACTTCTATAAACATACACTTGATAAAACTATGTGTTATGCGTAAGGTTTGTGTTTAACATGCACCAACTTTCTGTCTACCTATAAAATACTGGTAGATTGGGGACAATTTTTGTGTCATTATAGCCTACACCTGATTATAAACTCCTTAAGCACCAGTGCTTTCCCCTCGACAAGTAAAATTGTCTGGTGTTTTACAGAACATTTATATAAAGTATGGTGCTTTAAGTATGCAACTTTTCAAACAGTTTATTTATAATGAAAGCATTTCTAAGCAGCATTGTATGTAGACCCTTAAGACAGGAATAAACCTGCACCCATCAGTGATACTGATGCAGTGTTAAAACCAATTTATACTGATCAGTTAGAGTTGTCGAGCTGTAGTTGCAAATTAATTCATGTAAATATCATAAGGTGAAGCCTGTAGTAAGGTGTAAGTTAGGGTAAATGTCAGGATTTTGGACATCACACTCAACAGAACTTTAAATGTTGAAGGTAGCGTCACTTGACAAATATTTTTAAGTGTGAATTTTATACATATTTAGACCTTACCAACCTAAAAATATAGTTGTATCTTTTGCAGTTGCTTTAACCATGTCTAAAAATGTATAAAATTTACACTCAAAATTTTCATCTACAAAAACCCTTCAACATTTAGTGATGTATGTCAGCATTGCCATGTAAAACCCTTTTCTCACCAAATTAACATGCATTTACTGCATGTAATAGTTGGTGGTCAACATAGGAATATTTGCACAAGAATAGACATTATCTTTCCATTCTACATTTTTCTCATACAGAATACATGGCCAGTCTGCTTCATTAAATTAATATGTAGTTTTTAGATCATAGTAATTAAACTGCATTATATTTTTTATACCAAGAAGTGTTCTCTTAAAAGGGAGAGGTATTGTCAGTGGCAAATTTGAGGAATCTGATGCATTGGTGGAATACTGCATGTGGTCATGAAATTATACCTTCAATGCTGCAATCCTCAAGGTCTGAAAATTGTACCAACCTCTGCTAATCAACAGGGATCAAAAGACATGTTTAAGTAACACTACTAGTTTTGTAAAGAAAATGAAACACTCTTGATGACATATACTCGATTTGTTGAAATAGTTCATGAACTGAGACATTGTTGAAATAGTTGAACTTAAGCATTTTTGGGGAACATTTTCAAAAATGTACTTGTTTTTAAAATGTAAATTTATATTTGACTCATAATTTTCTCAGAACCAATCCAATATCCACTACATTAATTTAAACATATTTTCAGAGGTCAAGTAACTACCAATGATTTGAGCTCTAGGTTTGGAAATAGAAATCACAAAATGTTAACGAAAATTGTAATAAATTTTATATATTTACATAATACATACTGTAATTTAGTATTTATGACAAAAAGTATTTAATATAATCATTGAAAATTGTATTGAATTAAACTAAATTACATTAATAAGGAGGCATTCATTATTGATGGGGGGGGGAGGATGGGTGAGAAACTGGGGGGACCTGAGATTTTCCCAGATGAAAAGGGGGACTGCAATTCTGATAAACCAAATCCTGGGGGGACCTAACATTGAAGGAAGACACATTTACAAATTTCAAAAATCATGATGAGGGTGAAAACAAAAAGAAATCAGATTTACATAAACTTCATCTTTGGATTTATTTATGAAGTTATCAAATACATCATTTCTGAAGTTATATATCCAAAACACTCACAGTACATGTTTCATCAGATCTATTAAAACACTTGGGTATTGCCTCATGTTATAAATCTGATAAAAGGTTGTTGTTGGTGCTTTGAATATATTTTAATACAATATAATAACTAACTTTCTTTTCTGCTCTCTCAGTCCCTGCTGTACAATTGTACAAACATGTACATACTACATTTAGACACAAGACGTACATTTAAATTTAATGTAGTGTGAATTAAAAAATTAAATGTCACTGTGTGTAGTACTCTTTATTGTCAATAAAAGAGTTGCACCATAATTATACTTGACTACAGTAATTGGTGAGTGACTAATTATTATCATAACTTCAAATTGTTCTTCTCCATTTTGGCATCCTGTGCCATCTCTTCTGGTACCTGTATTAAACAGATAAATCCTGCAAAAAAAGATAACATTATTATACCACAATCATGTTATAAATTACACATCTTTAGTAATTAACAAAAATAAATAAGTATTACATATATGTTAACCCTTTAAGTGGCAATGCACCCTAATGTACTGCACTTTAGGGGAGAGCACTGCCGCTCAGTGGATTAATCAGACAATCTTCTGCATGGTTAGGAAAGACTATTTTACTCATCAAGGGGAGAGTGCTCATGGCACTCAATGGAATATAAATCGAACTATCTGCATACCCAATGTGCCCAACTTTAGTTAATCTAGCTCTGTCTAACACCAGATTATTTTACTCGATCTGTCTAATGCCAGACAATTTTACTTGTCAAGGGGAGAGCACACTGGTGCTTCATGGGTTAAGGCAAAAACGTTTTTAAAAAGAACTACGATATCCAACAACCTAAAGTGCATGGTCATATGGTGGCAACCTAAATCCCCTCCACAATAAGTGGCCACCACTGCCCTACAACCCCATATATAAACACTGCTACAAAAAGCCTGGCAAAAGTAGGACTTGCTTGTCCAAGCTCAGTGAGACTTGCTCAATGTGGGGGAATGCAATGCAGCCTTGTTCACAGGACATGAAGTCTGTGTACTTGCTGCTACCCTATTCAGAAAGATTGTTAAATCTAGCTCAAAAGAAAGTTTCAGTTATACCATATCTCGTCTCTCAAACACATAGGCAAGCAATCAATCATGCTTATCCAACTTTTGCACACTGCTTTGAACATTCCCAGGTCCTAGGTATTTTGTTCCCTCTGTCCGACACTCTCTGTCTTTGTGCTTATCTATATATTAATCCTGATTCACACCATATATAATCTGTACGACCGTGTGAGCAAGTGAACAACCACAATTATTATAAATTTATATTAAAAACTGGCAATAAAAAACACAAAACAACATAATTTCATGTCCACAATTTTCAACGATAATAAACATGATTTATGTGTCCGTACCCCGGTTACAGAGGCTATTTAATCAATAATGGATTGAAATATTAATTTTGCTGTATATATATATATATATATATATATATATATATATATATATATATATATCGTTTGTAGTTAGATATCGCTCTATGGCCTTTAGGTCATATTGAGCGCTCTACAGGATGAGCCATGCCGCTTACGCATTGCGCACGCTCACTGCTTGCAGTTTGAGCGCTCTGGCATGGTTTGATGTCCCACAATCGTGAGGCATCAAAGGTAACTATAAATAAGAGTTACTTTCATCCTGCTCATCAGCACTAGATTGATGAGGCCCATAGGGCCGAAACGGTACCGTCTGTAGTTAGATATCGCTCTATGGCCTTTAGGTCATATTGAGCGCTCTACAGGATGAGCCATGCCGCTTACGCATTGCGCACGCTCACTGCTTGCAGTTTGAGCGCTCTGGCATGGTTTTGATGTCCCACAATCGTGAGGCATCAAAGGTAACTGTAAATAGCAGTTACTTTCATCATCAGGGTTGCCAGTTTGCTGAATAAATTAGCCAAATATCATTACCATAACCTTTTGTTTTCTTTGTTCGAAACAAAGACATCAAAAGGCCGCTTATAACAATGTTTGGCTTATTTATTCAGCAATCTGGCAACCCTGTTCATCATATATATATATATAGTAGCATGAGTTTTTGACTTATATAGTTATATATTTATAGTCATTTTACTCATTTCGAGAGTCATTTTATATCTAGCAAGCTTCTACAAATTAAAAATAGTTTCATGAATCTTACCTGAAAGAATAGCTAATCTTTCTTGATAGTGAATTGTTGCATGAACAAACGAAACAAACCGGCACTTTCCCTCCACGTCGTAAAACAAGTAAAGTGCGAGGGAAAGATTTTCTTGCTCAAAAACAACCAAAAACCTCCTAGTAAAGTCTAAATTCTGAAATATTTGTGTAAAAACAGGGGGGTGCTGGACTTTGTTTAATGCTTCGGATCGCGGTTGGTCAGTGGCAATTACCATGGAGACTTCGGACCAGTTGCCATGGAAATGGCGTAATCGCCGCCATGTTTTTGGTGACACTCTTTCATGCCGAGTAGGTCCTCCAGTAATATAGTATAGTTCAGTGTATAGAATCCATTTCTGGCATTTGCAGAGTCATACGATACAAACGTCGCATTGTTTTGACGACTTTTTGTCGGGGAGACGTCACCAAAATTTTTTTTCCGGATATACCAGAAAAAAATTTCCGAACATACTAAATACCATTCTACAAACATACGAAAATTTTGGCGGACGTATCAGAAAATTTTCCGTAACGTCACGTAATTTTCGCAAAGATAGAAAAATTTTATCAGGACATATCAAAATTTTTCCGAAATTTTACGTTTTGTCCGAATTTCGCATTGATTTTTGCCCTACCGTAAAAATTGGGGGGGGTGGGGGTGGTGCACGTGCCCCCCCCGTGCCCCCCCCCCCCTCCGGACCATACGCCTATGTCTCAGAATTAAATATACATTTAGCATCCAACTATGCCGCACTTATAAAAACTCATCAAGTAATGCTATCACATATGTCTGTGCGAGACTTTGTGCGTACATGGAGTTTATGAATTAGGGACTGGTCATAAAGTATGTGTACAGGGGGGGAGGGGGGGAGGGGGGGAAGATAAGTTGGGGGGGGTTCTAAAACAAATTATCTAAACAAAAAATGTGCGCAACAATATAATTTTAAAAGTAGCTGACATCTTTATGTTCTACCAAGTTCAAGGGAATTTTTCCCACTTGATTGAGAAAATGTGTACAGACACCCAAAGGTAGCAGTGAGATTGAACAAAATTGCTTGAAATGCAATTTCGCGTGATATTACAAATTCATCAGTCCAAAACACACTTCTTAGTAAATATTAAATATATATGAATCTAAGACAAATAGTAAGGAAAAGTTATTAAAAAATGAAATGTTTATATATCTTGAACAGTGAATGACCTGTAATGCAAATGGAAATACAAATTGTTAGATAAATTTGATTTGGACATGTTTCAGTCCACCTAAAATACCAGATGCAGAAATACTCATTAGCTTCAAGCAATGTAAATACTATTATGTCATGCATATGCCTATTTCACTGCGCAGCACTATAATATAATATGTAATAACCCTGGTAGAATCAAACACTATTATTTGCTATTTAATTCCTATTTTATTGGGCTATTTAATTCCAATTTATCAAAGAATTTATTTCCTATTTTGACTATTATTATTTTTCGAGGTTTTTCCTATTTAAATTAATGTAGAAAGGCTATTTTTTTCCTATCCAAGTGGAACCATATTTTTTCCTATTCATGATATATTTCTAAACAAATACTTAATATCGATGTACTGGAATAGAAATTAAATGGGTTTCAAATATGATAAAAATAGAGCTATTTAAGGAAATTATTAAAAATATTTAGTTTCGGCATAGTTAATAAATATGAATGAAATAGTTAAAACATAGTGACAACATAGGTAAAAAATATGAAATAAATAGCTGAATTGAGTTTCAACTAAGTTTAAAATAGTCAATAAATAGTTGAAAAATAGTCATATAATAGTTTAAAAATAGATAATAAATAGTTCAAAAATAGTGATAATATAGTTTAAGAATAGATAATAAATAGTTCAAAAATAGTGATATTATAGTTTAAAAATAGATAATAAATGGTTCAAAAATAGTGATAATATAGTTTAAGAATAGATAATAAATAGTTAAAAAATAATGATAATATAGTTTAAAAATAGATAATAAAAAGTTCAAAAATAGTGATAATAAAGTTTAAAAATAGATAATAAATAGTTCGAAAATAGTGATAATATAGTTTAAAAATAGATAATAAAAAGTTCAAAAATAGTGATAATATAGTTTAAAAATAGATAATAAATATAGTTCAAAAATAGTGTGAATATAGTTTATAAATAGATAATAAATAGTTCAAAAATATAGATATTATAGTTTAAAAATAGATAATAAATGGTTCAAAAATAGTGATAATATAGTTTAAGAATAGATAATAAATAGTTCAAAAATAATGATAATATAGTTTAAAAATAGATAATAAAAAGTTCAAAAATAGTGATAATAAAGTTTAAAAATAGATAATAAATAGTTCGAAAATAGTGATAATATAGTTTAAAAATAGATAATAAAAAGTTCAAAAATAGTGATAATATAGTTTAAAAATAGATAATAAATATAGTTCAAAAATAGTGTGAATATAGTTTATAAATAGATAATAAATAGTTCAAAAATATAGATATTATAGTTTAAAAATAGATAATAAATGGTTCAAAATGTTTCTAAACAAATACTTAATATCGATGTACTGGAATAGAAATTAAATGGGTTTCAAATATGATAAAAATAGAGCTATTTAAGGAAATTATTAAAAATATTTAGTTTCGGCATAGTTAATAAATATGAATGAAATAGTTAAAACATAGTGACAACATAGGTAAAAAATATGTAATAAATAGCTGAATTGAGTTTCAACTAAGTTTAAAATAGTCAATAAATAGTTGAAAAATAGTCATATAATAGTTTAAAAATAGATAATAAATAGTTCAAAAATAGTGATAATATGGTTTAAGAATAGATAATAAATAGTTCAAAAATATAGATATTATAGTTTAAAAATAGATAATAAATGGTTCAAAAATAGTGATAATATAGTTTAAGAATAGATAATAAATAGTTCAAAAATAATGATAATATAGTTTAAAAATAGATAATAAAAAGTTCAAAAATAGTGATAATAAAGTTTAAAAATAGATAATAAATTGTTCGAAAATAGTGATAATATAGTTTAAAAATAGATAATAAAAAGTTCAAAAATAGTGATAATATAGTTTAAAAATAGATAATAAATATAGTTCAAAAATAGTGTGAATATAGTTTATAAATAGATAATAAATAGTTCAAAAATATAGATATTATAGTTTAAAAATAGATAATAAATGGTTCAAAAATAGTGATAATATAGTTTAAGAATAGATAATAAATAGTTCAAAAATAATGATAATATAGTTTAAAAATAGATAATAAAAAGTTCAAAAATAGTGATAATAAAGTTTAAAAATAGATAATAAATAGTTCGAAAATAGTGATAATATAGTTTAAAAATATAAAATAAATAGTTAAAATACATCCCAGCTTGTTAAAAATAGATAATAAATAGTGGATATAATATTGCCCAAATAGATTAAAAATAGCTAAAAAATAGTAATAACATATTAAATAAATAGTTAAAATATGTCCTGTTAATACAGTTAGAATACCGTATTTACTCGTTTAAGCGCCGCGGCGCTCTTTAAATTTTCAGAGCTTTAGATGCGGCATTCATTCGGGGGAGGCGCTCAATCGGGGGCGGAGCTCTTTAAAAAACTTTTATTTGTGGGTTATATAACAAGAACTTTTAACAATAAAACAAACAAGTTTTAAAATATTTTTGTAATCAAATATTCCCAGTTTGACGGCAGAAAGTTTTTATACTTTTCAGTGCGCGCTCATTCGGGGGCGGCGCTCTTTAAAATAATTTGATCTCAAATGCGGGGCTTATTCGGGGGCGGCGCACAATCGGAGGCGGCGTTCAATCGAGTAAATACGGTAGTTATTAAATATAGTGTATACAAATACATATAGCCTATAAATATTTTTAAAATATATTATAAATACCAGTAGTTAAAACATAGATAATAAAAAGTTAAAACATATAATGTAAATATTCTTTAAATAAAATATAATTCGTAAAAGAAATTGAGAACAAGTGTAGAAGTGCTGAAACATCAGAGGCTATTACAGACGTACTTTAGTATTTATCGTCTATAAATGCCAGACAATTTTACTTATCAGTAGGTAGAGGTCTGTCAATAAATGAGTTAAAAATTTGTAGTTAGCAGTCTCTATAGTAGCCAAAGATTTAAGTATATATACATACAGTAACTTGGCTGAAGACTGCATGGGCAGAAGAAATGCAAGAACATCATGTAACATCAAGAATAGGGCGAAGCTCGGCTGCAGCGAATTAGGCCTTCTTTACAGGTTAGAAAAAACATTTATATATGTGAATAATACCCTGAATCTAGCTGGATATTTTTCAACTATCCAACATATATCCTGTATGTAGCTGGATAGCAAAAACATTCTATCCAGCACATCCCTACAAAGAACTTCAAGTACGTAACATAAGAGGAACTTGCTCCTTTATAGGTGTTATACACTCTAAAAACACCCTGGTTAAAAAATCCGGGTTCAATGAATTTCAACCACAAATGGGTTAAACATACTTCAATCGACCAGGATTTTGGTTGACTTACTGATTCAGTTTTTGTCTAACATCACTTTACCAGGATTCCTGGTCAAGAGAAAAATCAAAATGGCGGCACACATTTTTTCGGCGGGTAAATAGTTAAAATTTGTTTATAATTTGCGTTGATAACACTTTCAAGACAAAAATAAAATATAGAGGACATTATTGGATATTGAAAAAGTTTTTAATCATTTTGAGAAGATTCCAACAATTCGCAAACACCATAAAGTCAATGCCAATAAGTGTAAGGAGTGGCATTGTTAATAATACGCGTGAAGAGCCCGGAGTGGTCTATACCGACGCATTTGTCTGGACAAAAGCCGTTATGAGTTATTAATGATAATATTAAAAATACTTACGAATTAGAATTAACATTGTGATGTAAAATATTAGTACGTTTATGAATTTAGATTTTTAATACGAAATTTTGACTAAACCCATTGAAGAGAACTATCAAGTTATGTTAATTTATGTTCTGTGCATACTGCCACCTATAGCTTTGTTCCCACATAAAAATGTTTTTAGAAGTGACAAAATAATTGCCTATTACTGTAACCAATGTGCTACTGTACTTGATAACAAAAATATTATTTTATATTCTTATATTAGGTTTTATATGGATTACTAGATTGCATTAAAAAGTACTGTACCATATAGTACACTAGCTGAGCTGCTGACTGAGCATCAATCAAGGTCGATAGTTTACTGGAAATTAATACATGCAATAAGACACATTAACAAAATACAGCTACAACACATTATTCACTCTTGCTGCAATGCAGTGCTTTTTTTACATATGTACCCTACTTAATTTGCCTTAGTAACACCACATGTCTCCCAAAATTGTGTACTTAATGACAATTTTACTTCCCCAAAGGAGAAAAACATTGTTCACTTGGTAGGTTTAAACTTCTTATACCTTAATTATCCTTGAGCAAAGCAACTTCAAATACATAGTCAAGTGACTTTGTTGTGAAAGAATACACTATAGAGCTTTTTTTGTCAATTTACTAACCTAAAGATGTTTGGTGAAAATTTTTTGACTATAATTATTTACTTTAATATCAATTGGGAATTCTTAAATATTGTACATTAAAATGTTCTTAAAAATCAGTTTACTTTATTATGTGATGCATGAATTTGCATCAGCTATACTGTTTTATAAAAAATATTGTTCAGTGTTGATAAATGTGGTGACAATATGAATAAAAAAGTAGAGTATGTGGATCAATTTCATTGTTAACAATACAATTTTATGAGACAATGTTCACTCCTGCAGGGGCTGAATCTCACAAGGCGCCACCATAACTTTTAGAGTCTGTAGATAGCCGGAAACTGCAGTTTCTCCACAACTCCAAGCATCTATCAACATGATGCAAAGGTCTACCAGCCTGGCAGCTTCCATGTAGACATTCAGTCATACAGCCATACAATGCAACAGACACACATTAAATTTAGCAATGCTTGCCATTTTTTTTGGGGGGGGGTAAGGCCCCCCATTAGGGACCGGTCATTATTTAGGCAGAGGTGGGGGCCGAAGAGAAAATGGTGGGGTAACTGAAAAATAATACTTGCTTTAGGTGGGGTGGCCAAAAAATCCTTGCATGCAGAGGTGGGGTAAAAAAAAATACCATACTTTAATCACACACAATACAATATATACTACTAACAGAGTTTAATATGTGATTATTCTATTTTTTTTAATAAAATATTATTGCTTTCCAAAATGTTGACAGAAACACCCCCTCGGCCCACCCGTAAGGGGTCATTTTATTCATTTACACACAAAATCTCCAAATACTCCAATTCAGTGCTCACACTTTTTAGGGAAATTTCCTTAAAAAAGACCATCACTGTGGGGGGAGGGGACAGTATTAATAGTATATATTATACAATCTTTTCAAAAGTTCTTTGTGTCTCTCGTTGTTCTAATCCCCTCCCCCGGTGAGGACAGGGCTATGCAAATAAGTTGTGAGAGCCCTGCTCCAATTATCAGACAAAATATATACTGCCTATATTTAGGGGCTGTTTATATGGTGCAACTGCAAACCAACCCTGGGGTACCCAAGCTGGCCCAGTTTTGGCGAGATCCTGCCTTTGTTGTTATTTCCTACTAAAGTTCACCTTGTGTATATATGGGTAAAGAGCGGGCCCAGCTATAGCTAAGCGAGATTCCGCCCCTTTAATAGCCCGAGATCTTGCTAAAGCTGGGCGATAATTCGCCTCAGGAAAAGTGACCTACTGTAGCCCCTAACCCTAGGTATCCAGGCTCACCTCCATATAAACATCTCCTTATTACATATCTCAAAAAATATATGTACAGTCTATTAAATTTTCAGGATTTAATATTTGGGCATCTACACTTGATACTGTATAACTAATATTTATATCAGGTATGTGCTTGTATACCATGTGGACAATTCAGGTAGCAAATCCTGAAATATGCCCCATGCCCCTTGTGATTCTGGAGAATCATTCCAATGGCTAGTTCATAATATGTTCAGTTCAAATATTGTTCTGAGTCTTTGGCAACTAGCTGTTTTTCTTTACTAGCAGACCATGTATACATGGATAAAATAAGAGAAATTTATTTACCCGTTATACAGATTAATTTAATTAATTGTTTATAAAATCATACTTGGAATTTGGATGATATATCGTTATCTTCACACTGTACAACAGCAACTTTTTCTCATTAATTTACAGTAACATTTTCTAAATTCAGATATTCTCACATGGGACATATTATACTTTAGTATCGTTGTATTGTTTACAAATTTAAAAAATATTTTAAAAATTGATTTCATAAACTTCAAGAATTCCGTGGGAATTCTTAAGGAATCCCTTTAAAATTCCGTGATAATTACATGTGATTGTCTATAGTAAGGAAATTTTAAAGGAATTTCAGAAATTTTAGAATTTAGATAGTTGCAATCATATTGGGTGAGCACATATTCTGTGACACTATTTCAAAACAACATTGCATTCTAATCAAATTAATAAAAAAATGCAAGAATATGAAAGAAACCAAATTGTATACAGTAAAACTTTAAAGTGGGAAAGAGATAGGGTGGTGAGATACGGTTAGTGTTCTAAAATCTTGAAATATATACACTGACAGTCACTGTACAGGTTTTATATCAGTGGTTAATATATGTTTATGGGACTAGCATTGCACTATCTCCTGAAAAGGGAATATAGCGTTGAATACAAACTATAAAAACCCAATCACATTTCAATTTAACAATTGGACCTTGATGAGTAATATGCATACAAAATACTAAACTGTTTCATTACATATTTTATGTCTGGACCTTTGACGTTGCAATAAAATAGGTTCGGGTGAGGTAAAAGTTTTTTCCAGCATTCCACCGGTGGGGTAGCTAGAAATTCTGTTTCGGGAAAGGTGGGGTAATGATTTTTTTTGGCGGCATTATACTTTCTCTTCGGCCCCCACCCCTGCCATAAATAATGACCGGTCCCTTAACAATTTGGGGGGGGGGGCTGAAGCCCCCAGCCCCCCACTTCCTACGCCTCTGGCCTCTGCATTCCTGGTCCTTAACCTTGCCTAAAAGCAAATTGGATTTACTTTTTCATGAAGAATGTTTCAAAAATAGAATGATTGACAAATATTTCCCCAATGGGCATATTCTTATGTAATGTCTAATAAAATGATCATTAATTAATTAATTTTTGAAATGAAGGATTTGTATTGCAGTTCTTATATGTCATATTAAATTCAGGAACACAAAATCATTTTGCCTAAGAGAGACATGATTACAATAATAATCATAATACATTAGTATAATGATAATGCTGCAGTTTGATTGGTTGAGAGGAGTTCGATTTTGAGCTTGTAAATGCCCCAATTGTTAGCCAATCAGACTGAAGTTCTACATGAAGAGACACAAGCAGCTTTCTACAATTTTTATTTTATTTGGACATGAAAGTTTGAAGTACTATGTGTGCATGTGACAATGTCCAGAATGGGCCATTCCATTAATATAGGCACCCCGCTGATATTGAGGGATCACCTTTTAACCACCTTAGGATATAAAAATCGTAGGGTCAACCCCTCTTTGATGGAAATAGTTGTGCCCTCCTAGGATATCACCACTATAGCCCCTTAGGATATTGTTAATGCACCAGTCAATGTAAATCCCTACCCCATTTAACCTCGAGGAACTAGCAATTAGGCATTCCAGGCCAGGACAAATGCCTATGATTGAAAATTCATAATTTCTCTTTAGATGGGGAATACACTCATTGCTTCCTTGCATCACAAGCCAGGATAAAGGCGGGACATTTAGTGTTGGTTAATTAAGAGCCTGGGGAAAATTTTATTTTGTGAAAAGTTAACTTGATATATCTTGCAAGAGAAATATATAAACCATGCAGGGACATATGCAGG